ACATCATTCTAAATGGAATGAACTCCCAGAACACAAAATCAAATGTAAAACAAAGAAGCTTATCGCTTACTATAAATGTGTCATTGAAAGAAGCAAAAATGTGAGCCACCCCAAAAGCATACTCGCCTTCTCGGACAGCAGGTCCAAGGGTTGTATTCTCCTCCTTGGGCTCCCTAACCTTTCTCCTCGACTACAAAATACCACAAATCATGGAAGTGTCACCTAAATCTGCCTTAAACTAAAAAAAAACTAATAAAAAACGATCCTATGAATCTAAACAAACACCATTGGCAATAAATACAAATTTAGGTCTAATCTAATTAGTAAATGATTCCAATAAGAAATTTCCTTTTTTCCAAAGACTAAAAGACAGGCTTTGCACATTTCCAGTTTTTATTTAGCCTCAGTGTTTTTCAAGCATGAAAACGCAACTAAAGCTATCTAGTGCAATGTTTATAATACAAAAATTAAATAAATGAAGAGAGCACATGGTTTGCAACATTGTCACAGTTAATACGTAAAATTCCACTCTTATCTTCTATACCAAAATTCTAAACTTATTTTCTCAGCCACCAAACAAGATTTAGCTTAACACTGGTATAAAAGATGAAAATCGAGACCTACCATGGCTTCAGGCAAAATGCAAGAGAGTTGTCAAAAAGGTTTTCTGAGAGCGCTATTGCAGAAGAGATGACGCGGAATCCAACTTTTTTATAGTTAGGGTTTTGATAACCTTGAGATTAAATGACGAAAAGGACCTTTGAGTTAGATTAACTTGCTCAATTTCGTTTTGGTCCCTCTAATTTAATTTTTTGTTTTAGTCACCTTACTATCATCAATATTATGTTTTAGTCCGAATCATTAAAATAATTAAAAAAAACTTTATTCGTTGGTTGATGTATAATTTTAAAAACTAAAATAGAATTGTTTTAATATTGAGTTGATTTTTATTTTACTTTATTTTTTAATGGTAAATTAATGAAAAGTAACTGTTTTGAAGATTATAACTTCACTTTTTAAATGACTTAATTAACTTTAGGGTTCGTGTTTTAAAAAATCCACATCTATAGACAAAAATAAAATTTAACCATGTTAATGCTTTGGACCAAAGAATAGAAAAATCAAATTATACAAATTAAAGTAATTAAAACAAAATGTTTATATATATATATTTTGGGTAAATAAAAGAAAGAGACTCCTAAAACTGTTCTAGTTCACATTGCATGGAGCAGGTTCAGTACTTCGGCTGGAGGGTTTTGTAGATGGTGAACTTCCAATCTCTCTTTTCCATTTCCTTGATGTGCGATAAAATGGCGAGCTTGCCTTATTGATCAGACTTTTCTTTCATTAACCGGATTGCTTGCATGTTTTCCGGTTCGACCTCGATATGTGATAGACCCAAGTCCCATGCAGTTCTCATGCCCGTGTAAGCTCCCCAAAGTTTCGCTTCGAGTATCGAGCATATGACAATGTATTCGTAGAATCTCATGACCCATTTTCCTTCATGGTTCCTTACCACTCCACACATTGAGTTGTCGTTTGAAGGCCTGTGTTCATTCATGCGACTTGTTTCTAGAATTGTGTAGGAGGATCCCCTGTTGGAGCTTTGATTAGAGACGATCCCTTGTTGGTGTATGTTACCTGGAGGTTTCGGCTTCTCTCAACACAGTTCCATATTTATCTATTGTTGCATCGAAGGCTGCAACATTCTCAAGCCAAAGATTCCATAGAATTAGACCGAAAAGAATGTCCCAGTCCTTTGTCACCTTTGCAAAAGTGTTAATTTGTGTCGGAAAGGTTTACCAGGATCCAAGTCTGGAACTCCATGGACCTGAAGTCGTCAAGTCTCTATGGGTTTGATTGTTGAGGATCAGACACTTAGGGCTCGGGGGCACCACCAAAGTATGTGATTAATATCTTCTAGAGAAGCTGCGCATAAAGGACATCTGTCGTCGAAGGAGAAATGTCTACATACTCTCTCTGCGTTTGTCATGACTTTATTATTGCAGGCAAGCCAGATGAATATTTTTATTCTTTGCAAACCTTTGAATTTATGGATGGTTTTCCATAGGACCTCCTTATTGTCAACCGTTGGTCCTCGACGTATTCTGTGTGCCGACTTTACCGAAAAAAGGTGGTTCACCAAGCAGTTATACAACGCTAAAGTTATCCTCTTGTAAATCAATGGGACCCCAAATATTTACCCATGTCTTATAATATTAATTATTAATTACTCGTACATAATTATAATATGTAATAATCATTAGGCATAATAATAGAAGTATGAACTTACAAGTCTTCCGATAATATAAAATAGCATTTCTTATAAACAAAATGTTTTTACTTTATGATTTTACATAAAAGAACAAAAGAAAATTATCAAACACAAAAAAAACAACACCAATCGAATGAGGAATGTTTGTTATTCTATGAGGTTCTCAGGTTCGAGCACAAAAAATATTATAAATGTGAGCGTTTAATATCAAATTATTAAGAATTGTCTTTAAAAAATACAATACAAAGGAACAAGTGAAAAGGAAGAGAAAAACTAAAAATTTGACAGCTGTGGGATTTGAACCCACACGCTTCGAACCGGCACCTTAGACCACTCAGCCAAAATATCTTAATTCATAGGTTATAAAATCAATTTTATTTATTCAATATTTTCTTTGGAGAAATTTTAAAAAAGGGAGCTTGAACCTCCGACCTTATGGTGACACACGCTCTAACCAACTGACAATTCCAGCTTTCCGATGATATGTGTAGATTAATTTTTAAAATATTTTTAAAAAGAGCTTATGTAGTTCTGGCGCCTGAGCTACCTGAACATATATATACTCAGATTCATTGCTTAAGCGAGGATATGTTTATTTCATATAATTTATTTATTGAAAAATATTTTCTTCATTTTATACTATTTGGTTAGCGTTAAATAATTTAAGTTTTTTAGATTTTGATAATATATTTTAACTTTTCGCTTCAAAAATAAACAGACATTATATTATTGGACAAAGTTTTGACTTTTGTGGTATTTACTAAGCACACGGCCAGGCTCTTTTGAATTGTTTTTCTTTCTCGGAAAGACCAGCTCAACCCCATTCGATTGAGCTTTGTAAAGTTTCTGTATAATATAATTAGGGTGCATTTGGTTCACAGAATATAAGATTACCGCGGGAATAAGATTACTGGAATGTTGTATTTTGTGTTTGGTTAGTTTAACATGAATATAAGATTACAGTATTTGGTTAAAGGAATAAAAGATTATTGGAATGTATATTTTACCAAATTGTCCTTATTATATATTTATTTTTTTTAAAAATTGAATTTTACTATAATTAATTTATATATTTTCTTTAAAAATTTTAAATTTATAAAATTTATATAATTTTTTTTTACAAAATTGAAAAGATATTTATTTTAACCCCTGAACTTCATATAAAATTCTAATTATTGATTTTTTTGTAAATCTAAAATAGTTTAAGGATAAATTTGTAATTTAACCTTCGTAGAATATTTTTTATTCAACGACAGAAGAATGATATTTTTGGAAAAAAAAATTAAGGGCCTTTTAGGCCAAAACGCCGATAATCCAACAATATCTAAGGGAAGAGGGTAATCACATTCTCGGTAATATACCCCCAAAATACTACAGTTGGGAATAAAGGATTACCAGGGGCTGGGAATGTTTGCCAACCAAACGGGGGAATGACATTCCATTCCCCCGGTAATGTGAGATGACTTGAACCAAACTCGCCTTAGGGTTAGAATCCACTTATCTAATGTATTTTTTTTTGTTTTACATATATTTAGGATCGTTGGATGAGTGAAAATAAAAGACTAAGATTAACTCTCTGTTTTTTTCTGTGAATATCTTCTCATTTTGTAATGTAAATCTCAACTATCTATTTTTACTCATCCAACGCTCTAAATCTCTAAAAAACTTGCACTATGTAATTGATGCGCAACCCCCTAAGAAAATGCATATACACATTAATAAGTGTTTGGAAAAGAAATACCATTAAATGTTTAAGAAAATGCATATACGTACATTATGTAAATGTTTAAGAATTATATTATCTAATTGTATGTAGGGATGGACCGAGAAAGGACATATGAGAATATCCGTCATCTGAAAATTTAATCATCATATATTTTTTTTTTTTATATTTTACAATTTTTTTTAAATTTAAAAATCCGTCCTCCAACATGAATCTTATGTCGGTCCCTAATTGTATCCTAACCCTTTAAAGAAAAATGCATATACACATTAATATATGTTTGAAAAAGAATTACTATTGTGCTATCAACGAAAATTTTATTGAATTTCACAAATATGAGATGCTCCTCGCCGTCAGGTTTACTTGGAAAGAAAAATTATAAAGAATTAAATAAGTATTGAATTCCATCATTTGACTTAATAATAGAATATAATTAAAATATAGTCCCAAGCATTATTAAATTCTTACTTTTGACCAAAAAATTAAATTCAGTTTATACTAAAAATTCACCAAATTTCATGAATAGATCCTTCTCCCCAATAAGTCCACTCGTAGAGGAATCAGATACGATAAGACAAAGAAATGCATGAATCTGCTAAGACAAAGGAAAAGTCTTTAGATTTCATAATTTTTCAACAGACAATCCTCTTCTAAAACTTTTAAATTCTATTATATTTTAGATTTTTTTATATTTTATAATTAATAATGTATCTTTTTAATATTAATTAATAATTTATTTTCGTATTTAAAATTTTATAAGTTGATCGTCTCTAAAATTTCATAAATTTTAACTTAAAATCCTACCTCTGTCAATGATTTTAAGGAAATGCAGTGTGAATAAGACCGAATTTTCCCACGAAAGAGAGGAAGTTTCTAAGTCCCATGTGCCTTCCTTTTCGCCAAACATTTCTGGTCTCCTCCATAGTCATCCTGCCTAAATTTCTCACATATTTTCCTTATAAGTTTATGCTTGATTATCACAGGAAAATATAACCAAAAACAATGGAGGGTATGCCACCAGGGTTTCGATTCTATCCAACCGAGGAAGAACTGCTTTCATTTTATCTCAATAACATGTTAGAAGGAAAGAGAGAAAACCTCAACAATCTTATTAACAACCGAGTCATCCCGGTTGTCGACATTTATGGCTACAATCCAACCGATCTCCCACGTAAATAAATAACCACATGGACTTCTCTTTTAAAGTAGTGTTATTTGATCCTTTTGAGTTTACTCTCGTGTAGTTTTCTTTTCCATTTTTTTTTCATGCAGAGTTGTCGGTTTCTTTGTGCCACAAGGACACAGAGCAGTGGTTTTTCTTTGTCCCGAGAAATGAAAATGAAGCTCGAGGAGGGAGGCCCAAGAGGCTAACGGATTCTGGGTATTGGAAGGCTACTGGTTCGCCTAGTTTAGTTTATGCTTCTGATGATCGACCAATTGGGTTTAAGAGAACCATGGTTTTCTACAATGGAAGGGCTCCAAGTGGGCAGAAAACTGATTGGAAGATGAATGAATATAAAGCTTTCCATGGAGAAGTATCCTCGGTTGCGCTCGCTAATGGTGCACAACTTCCTCCTGTATGAAACTCTTAATCCTATTTCATTAACTCTCTTATGGTATAATTAGCCCTTTGCATAATTTTTGTTTTTTTTGGGTTTATAGCTGAGACAAGAATTTAGCTTGTGTCGGGTGTATAAGAAATCAAAATGCTTAAGATCGTTCGACAGGCGACCATTGGCAGGTGCAGTGCAGATAAGCCGGCAAGTTCCTCAACACGTTAAATATGGTTTTGAGTTGACAGAAAGCTTACCAGTGAGTTCATCTTTGGGTGATAAAGGCAATCAAATAACTCAAACCGGAGAAAATAATGACGACGACTATTCCTTTTGGACTATAGATGGGTACTGGGGTCTAAATAATTGATGGAGTTTTATATTTCGTATGTAGATGGTGTGTAATTCTATACACGGTTATTGAATAATAACTTTTCAGTAATATATTATTATATATTTATGATTTAAAATAAAATATTATTTAATATATGATATCATTATAAAATTATTTAAATCTATGTTCAAATATAGTATGAATAAGTAGCCTCCATGGTAGATGAATCGTTGTTATTCCTTGAGGACCTAGGTTTGAGCACCAGAGATGTCAGAGGTGTGAGCATTCAACCTCAAAACGTTGAGAGTGTTCTTTGAACATATATTGCCTTGTATTTACTCTAAATTAAGCAAAAATATGTATATTATTATATATTTTTAGAATTTAATAAAAATATTATATTTATAATTAAACATTAAACATCTATACGAAAATTGAATTGATAATAAAATTTATAATTGAGAATTTTATTTTATATAATTAAGTAGGTCCTATCACAAACTTTTCAGACCGAATTAATACTAAAAAGGTTACAAACTCTAATACGACTTATAAATCAATTCAAGTTTATTGTTGTCCCTAAAGGATGATAAATTTGAATGAAATTGAGTCTAAATAAGATTGACAAATTTACAATGATATATCAATAATTCTATATATACTCGATTGGACTAACACTTAGCCCAACCCAAATTGACATTAAGATCCAAGGTTAACCCGAATTGAAAATCGAATGATCCAATATTGATATAACCCAAAAACTAATCAATGTAATATTGGTCTAAACCTAAAATTATTTGACCCAATATTGATTCAAACAAAAAATTAACTAATATGATATTGACAATAAAAAATTAACCGATCTTATATTTACCCTACTTGATATCTGACTCGACCCAATTATCATAGACCCAAACTAATTTCAAATCTAAAATGATCCAACTCGAATTGTACTTAAACTAAATATAATCTAAACCTGAAATGACCAAATCCCAACAATTTGATTATCGCATATAAACTAGACATTATTTAAAGTTAATATTTTAATTCGATTAATAATAGATTTAATATTTTAACAGAAATTTGCATTTTTCCAAAATCAATATAGACTAAAATCAGACCAACTGTACATCATTGGGCAATTTTACTTAAAAATCATCCAAAAATTTAAGATATACTAAATTAGTACAATTTGACCAATTTTACTAAAATGTCACCCTTTCAGATGAAGTGCATTTTACAAAACACGCCTTAAGCATACGTGGCAAAGGCGAGTCTTAAGCATACCTTTTGCAAGGAATCTCTGTCATATTATAGTGTCTCATCCCATCACACATAAGAGTTGTTAGGATGAATAGTTCCTCAAAGGGAAATATTATATGTACATATATATATTTTGGAATATGCATATAATTTTTGAGAAAAAAGGAGAGCTCTTTTCACAAGGTTTCACCTTTTGTAAGGGATCTCTGCAATGTCATAGTGTCTCATCCCATAAGGCATGGAATTTGTTAGGACTTGAGATGAATATTTTCCCGAAATGGAACATTATATCTACAAATATGTTTCTGGAACATGTAGAGAATCTCTGGAAAAAAAGGAATTTTTTACAAGAATCTTTGAAAAAATGAAGGCTATTTTCACAAGAAGTATTTTCACCTTTTACAAGAAATCTCTATCATATCATAGTGTCTCATTCCATCAGGCATTAGAGTTGTTGGGATGAATAGTTCCCCGAAAGAAAACAATATCTATAATATATGTTTTTGGAATATGTATAGAATCTCTAAAAAAAATAGGGAATACTATTTTCACAAGAAGCGCTTTAATCTTTTGCAGAGAATCTTTGTCATGTCATACTATCTCATCCCATCATGCATGAGAGTTTTTGGAATGAATAATTCCCCAAAGGGGAACGTTATCTGTACATATATGTTTTTTTATTCATTTTAATACTTACACTCTCTAAATCTCTATATTTGTTCTCTTTAAATCTATAACTCAAACTCTCAACATCGCTCTCATCTCTCAAAGAATGAGTCATATTTCTATTATTGTTTATTATGATGGTCAAATTCATGAATCTAAAATAAGAGTTATTTTCGAATCAGATCATTATATTTGCATATCCTTTAAGAGAAAATTCATTCTTGAGGAGTTAATTGAAAAAATTTCCTTGAAAGTTCATGTTAGAAGTACTAGAAGAATCTCTTCACTTTAATATAGATTTCATAATAAACTTGTTCAATTAACATATATATAACGTTTAATCTTTCCAATGATGATGTTACTATGATGGTTGATGCTCAGATTGAAAATTCAAAAGCTCTTACAAAGATATATGCCAAATTTTTTGAAGTGAGTGAGGTTCGTGGTATTTCATTATCCTCTCATCATGGGTTAGCTTATCATGTTTATCAAGTCGAGAGCCCAACTCAAATGTTATGCAATGAGTTTACATCTTTTATGGTGAATTCACTTTGTGGGGTGCCATCAAGTTCAATGAGAAGTCATTCATCAATTACTGCTTACGATTTCTACCGATGTGGGTCGACAAATAATCCATATGGCAACATCCCCTCAAGTTTAAGGGGAAGGTATCCATTTGTCTACTTCTTCAACCTCAACATTGAAATGTTATCAACACAATAATCTATTCAGAATTCATGTAGCAATATGCCGTCAAGTTCAAAGGGAAGGCATTTATCTATCAACTTGTTCGACCTGAACATCGAAATACCATCAACACAACAGCCCGTTCAAAACCAATATGGTGGTGTGCCTTTAAGTTCAAAGGGTTGACATTAATCTGCTAACTTGTTCAATCTCAACATTAGAATGCCATCCATAAATGAGACAAATGATTATTCTTCTCCATCAAGAACCACTTTGTGAGCCAATTATGAATAGTGTTGAGACAAAATTATTCGTTGAACCGAATCATCTCAATTTAACATGAACTCTGATAATGGTGGAGATGAAGTTCCCATAAATACAACAAAATTGAACCTTCAACATATATGTCTAAAGTAGACTTTGACGTAATGTACGAGTCATAATTTCCTGATATGCTTAATATTAGAGACTATAGAATTTCCTGAGATAATAGTTGAGTTCGAAACCCACCATACGTACGAGAATGATAGAGTATTCCAAGGAAAATACAAATTCTACTGTGTTTTTTGGACTTACATACAATGCATTAATGCGGTAAAATACTAAAAAACCGTTACTCCAAATTGATGATACTTTCTTGTAAGAAAAATACAAGCAAGTTCTATTACTGACAATGATCTAAAATGGTAACTGAAATATTATTCTCGTTGCATTTGCCCTAGTTAAGAGGGAATATACAAAGCTTGAGTGTTTTTCCTTAGAAATTTGTGCTTCTATATTGTCAAGAGTGATGATATATGCATCATTTCAGATCGATAAGCTAGGATAAAAGTTAAATGGACTCTTTGTGGGTAGAATGTGGAAACCTCCACATGTTCAAAATCGTTATTATATCTGATATATTGTAGTAAACTATCGTGGAAAATTTAAAAATAATGATGAATGTCAATTACTTATACACAAGAGTATGTTACTTTTTTCAATTTCATTTTTCAGTCGATTTCATTTTATTTACTTATACTTGTCACTAACTGTAACATCCTCAATACTGAGTTAGTGACTAGATTGAAAATTTTCAGAAATTGGTGATTAAAGTGGGATAATTGTATAGTTCAATGACTTATTTGAAGATATTTTATGCATCATTGTTAGTAATTAATAGATGAAGTAAAGGGAAAATGGTCATTTGACATGAAAGATTTTTATTTTCCTTTATAAGATAATGAAGTCCACGTGGAAGAGAAAAAAAAGGCAAAAAAAACTTCCAGAGTTCTCTTCTTCTTCAGCCGTGAGTCACCGTAGCAAAGGTGAGTTTTGTGGTTAGTTGATTATTTGTTGAAATTAAATTTGGTTTATGATTATTGGATGATAATTAAGCTTAAGTAAAACTTAAATTATCTTTAAAATAAAGGATGATGGAGTTATGAGAGATTAAGTAGAAGGAGTTTTTAAGTGAATTCTTGAAATAAAAGGAGTTAATATACTTTGAAGTTGAATTTGACTTATCATTAGTGGAGTTAAAAGATATGAAGTGTTAGAAGTGGATTTAGAACATGTTGAAAATTGAGCATGATTCTTGAATTTCATAAAGAAAAGAGGATATTGAGGTTAAAGATGAGATAAATTAACATTAATGAGGCTCAGTATGTATAGATAAGTTTTAAGGTATAAGGAGAGGTTAATAAGTAGAATTTGAGGACAAAGTAAGACATTTTCGTGTTCAAAATGGAATTTCTGGGTTGTGTGCATTGATGCATCTTCAATGTGTATCGATGCACTCTCAAATAAATAAACATCAAATGCAATTAGTGCATCGATGCACCCCCTTAAAATGAAAACATCTAATGTAATTTGTGTACCGATGCATGTATAGTGCATCGATGCATATGTTAAGGAATGCATCGATGCACTGTAGAATGTACCGATGCACTTCAAGGGGAAATAGAATTAGACCTTTATTTTGGTCTAAGAAATGATAGATTAGAATACATCAATTAGATACTGATAGGTATCAATGTATAAATATGTAAATATCGAGCACGAACAAGTTCCGGGATGACCATCAAGTTAAGATTCGATCGGAAGAAAGGAAATCATAAAAGGGGATTGGAACTTAGTGAGGCCAAGCTGAGTGCATATTAGTGATATGTAATGTTTACTGGAAATTTGACTTGTGATAAGTATATTTCCTAAAGTAATATGCATGAAGTCATGAACATGTGAATAGTTTGATATGATTATATGTGTTATATGTTGATATGCTTTGTATATGATTCATGATTTATGTAAAATATTATTATGTGATAATGGAAGATCATAAAATAAGATATGTAAAGATATGATTGTAAAAAACAAGCCGTGTAGGAATATGTTACTGACAGAATAATTAAGACAAGGTTTATTGTGATACGTAAGAATGA